AGAAGCTCAAGTCACCACAGCAATTAACCAGGTGAGTTCACTGCCAATTGATGCACATCGTGAAACGCTTCGCTCCGCTCACGAATTTTGAGATAGTTCATTTTCTAATAATATCGCATTAATTAAATAGGTGCAGTTGTTCACTCGAGATGAGATGATTCATACCTGAAATTTGTGGGTTTTGTGACGTTTTTACACGTGTTATATCGTCTGCTCTACATGGACTCGTGAATTTGTATTTTTCTCGCAGATCTGGTGAGTTCGGATTACCATTCCTCCGTGAAGTTCGTGAGTATGCTACATGGCTCGTCGGAGAACTACACAAACAAGAGAATTTGAAAGAGTTGAATTTTAAAGTTGGCATTCACGCCGTACCCAGTCTCGAGCCCTTCCACGTTCACGTTATCTCCAGTGATATGAGAAGTTCGCGAATTAAACACAAAAAGCATTGGAATTCCTTCAACACTCCGTTCTTTGTTGAGCTGAGCGAAGCGGAGGAGATATTACAACGCGATGGTGAGCTTTGGAAATGCGCGATTGTTCATCGTGGACATAATCGTGCGTGAAAAACACATTGTCAACTTTCTTTCACAAATTCATATGTTTTTATTCATCAGGGAATCTGCACTCCATCTCAAGTCGAGAGACACATTTACGTGATGATCTACTATGTAACGTATGTGGTCACAATTTTGGTGGTCACTTCACGAAGCTGATTCGTCATGTTATGGTGTGCTCACAGCATCCCGCGACGAAACGGAGTGCGGCTGTGGATGACTACAGCGAAAATGAGACTAAATCTCGACGACTTGAGAGTTGAATGCTTCCCTTCCTGTTATAAATCGTCGTGTTGTCAGTGACCATTTTGTAGATCATCGTTTATAGCGGATGAATGATGAGTGACAATTGCAAACCAAGAGTGTGATGTAACACTTCAACCAAACGAGTCGGCTGGGGCAGAATGTTAACTCCTTACTAAAATACGACCGTCGTGAAGAGGCATGCGTAATAGCGATCAACGCAACCACAGATCACCACATTAATTAACTATTGCTCGCCCTTCAACGCAACTCACATCAGTAAAGGTATCGGACTGTAGGGAAACTTTCGCTACGACTCTCTATCGTATGTTGGCAATTTGAAGACTAAAAACACATCCCAGTTCCTGATAGAAGTGAAGTGAAAATTCCTGAAGGTTACCAAGAAAACGATTCCGACCATAGTGAGAATACTCAACTCTCATGAGTGGAAAAATGGCGCCTCGGATGGATTCGTGAATTCAGTGAAAGCGGCTGATTATATCGTTTACAAAATGTGTCTTCACTTTCGTTACGTATGTTGGTGTATTGCGTATAGTATGTACTGGAGTTTCACGACCCGTTTAACGTGAAGTGGCGTAATACTCGGTGAAAACCCGATATTGGCGCTATGCAGTAGTCGTGAAATATGTTCTTCATATCACTAGGGTGAAACTCCACTGTACTGTTTACGGTACACAACCGTATACATAATGATAATGTGAGGCATTCCCAACATTTGCTCTGATGAATCCAACTATGTCAATCACTACCGTAAATCAAACGATCTGATAGAACTCATAATATGGTGAGAATTGAAGCGCTCTACTAGTGTTGGTAAATACGCACATGTGTTGGTGATGACTACATGAAATTTATGATGAAATTTCTTGTTGGTTTCTGTACACCTCTACTCATGGACTTAACTCCTCAGCTGAAGAAAGCAATCATATACTACCCAACACGACACCATGTGTAGGGTAGTAACATCATTTGCATGCGTC